GCGCCCATCACGTGCTCGGTGTGTTGCATTGTGTTTGCGGCGGAGGGAGGGCTGGCCGTGTCAGTGATCAATGTCATGACTTCCTCCTCGGGCTGGAGCAGTATCAGAGCACAGCTGAAGGAAGCTGATTACTGCTGGTTTCAAATTGGCTGGGAACAATACACACACACACGCACACGCACACGCACACACACGCAGCCCGCACCCTGGCTCCCGCGTCGCCGCTCCGCGCCGGGGGGGAAGATGAGCTCAGGGGACGTCGTTTGCACTGGATGGCTCATTAAATCACCCCCCGAGAAGAAACTCAAGAGATACGTAAGTGCAGAGGTTCTGCCGATGTTTTTTCTCGCTACAGGGATTTCGGCATGTGCTCGGTGTCTTACTCTTCCTTTGAAACGTCTCGCCTCTTTCGGCTTCGCCTTGGACCAAAACAAAAAGATTTCCAAGTCCGTGCGCTTATGGAGCGTTTTAGTTTTCACCGATATTCTTATGCCCTTTGGAATTAACCTTTCCCGGCTCGTAAGATTATAGTACTTCAGTTGTTATGCAACATATCTTAGTTTAAAAACCGCATTTCGGTTTCAGTTAATGTTGCCGTAACTAACAGAATTGTTGTAACAGAATTTCAGATGTCACTTTTCCAGGGAAGGGCAAGAACCTCCCGAAAAAAACTAATACTTCAAATTCTGAGGCTCTGCTTTGTTAAGATGCTCTGTAATTTCTATGACACTTGCTAAAGACAACATCTGCAATAGTTATATTTACCAATTTAGTATCCCAGATGCAGTTGCAAGCAGAAAGCTTTACTTCTTGTCTGCGATAAAGAGGTGCTAGGAGATGCCACGCTGTAAAGTTCCTGATAGCTGAAAGGTGAAGGGAGCTGGTGAGAAGAAGCGAGCACTGCCTGCATGGAGAGCCGCAACTGCATTATGTGTAAAGGGGCCCCTTGTTTCGTTCTGTATCTGCCTGCCTGTTTTTCTGAAAAAAAAAAAAAAAAAAAAAAAAAAAAAAAAAAAAGGGTGTGTGTTACAAACATAGGAAACTGTATCATTGCGGGGCTGCGAGGAAGGCATTCCGGGTAGAAGTAAATGACCCTTAAAAATTGCTTGGGACAGCATTCAAAATGTAAGCCCATCGTGGGCCATTTTGCATACTCATTTGTGATGGTTCTTCATCAGGCATGTTGTGACTGTTTTTACACTTTTGGAATCGGTAATACTCGTTTGAGTCACGCACTTCTAACCTAACTTACCCCAGAGCACTGCACTGTACTACAAGGATGCCACCATATGTGTCTATCGCACTCAAGCCATATACATAGCTTACATCATTTGTCGTATTCGCTTCTGTTTATCAGCATTTTTTCTGGACTGCTGATGTTAGCTTTTTCTAGTAATATGAGGAATAACTGTCTTGTGAAGAATGCGGTAGATATATCATTTGGTAGTGTATTTTTTCTTTGCACTAAAAACTAGGAGGAAGGATAATTTACTGATGTTAGAATTTACTTTTCACTTACTCTAAGCCAGAGTTTCTTCTTTTAGATCAAAGTATTGCATTTAAATGGCTGAATATTTGCTTTGTTCAGTTAGCATTTTCCAATTCTAAAAAAACCACTATGATGTGTCTCAAGGGAGCTGCAAATAAAATATGGATATCTAATTTTTGTTTTATTTTGTAATGCATGTACTAATAGCACTGTATAGCAGACACTAGACAATGTAAGAGCCACTGATTCACCCAGCTGGTATCATTAGTAACTCTGTCAGTGAAGCTATTTTTGATGACTCAATATTCATAAAAGGGCAAAGTAGAGAAAACAGAATGTGATAAAGCTGGGATTTGAAAGCCCCCTTTATACAGTCAAGATAATAGTCACAACAGGGGTTCTGATCAGCTCACAAGACTAGTTGCAGTCTGGTCTGCTCAGATTTTGCACTACAAAACCGAGGGAAATTGGGTCTATGTTATTCTTCAGACATCAACCACTAGATTAGCCAGATCTCTGCAGATTAGGCTTTGTTTTCGGGTTAGGAGGATAAACTACTCCTTTGTCCATAATAAAGCAGAAAGAAATCTGCTGCATGTACAGCAAAGATTAATGTCCTTTCTCATATGACTGGTTACACGCTGGATGCTACAAACCAAATGGAAATTGTCCTTTACTTGCTGTAAACTAATTTTTTCCCCCACTTTTTACATAGTTTCACCAGCATAGTGGCTTGTGCATCTTGCATTGGGGTGGTAGATAGCTCAGGCTGAACCAGTGACTGCTTAAAAACAAGCCAAGCTTTAAAACAATGACTGTTTAAACTGACTTCAGTAGGTGTCAAGTGTCAACCGCTTTCGGGAGAATGGTGTTGGCTCTGGTTCTGAACTGACAACATACACAAATCCCCAAGCTTTACGCCACCCTTTGTGTTCAGCTGGCAAAACCCAGGGTCTGAGCTGAAGCTTCCAGGGAGCTTCAAACACCGGCTTGGTCTGCTGCGCATTGGGACCTCTTATACCAGAGAGACTCGGTTGTTCTCACTGGTTTGTCCCCCATTTTACATTTTCCTGAGTTCAGCATCCCGCCTTTGTAAGGTCCGGCTTGAGGGTCTCTTGTTTTACACACAGATAAATTCTTAATCCTCAATCTATTACAATCGCTAAGAAGATCCAATTAATTTCAGTGGAATCTGTAGTTAAGAGACCAAAGTGATGAATTCAGGTTGCGAGACTGGGAACTGCAGATAGTCCCACTGAAGCCACTGAGAATATTTACAGTGTTTATAAAATTAAAGAAATACATCTTTGCAAGATTGGACCCTAAAGACCAAAGTATACCTTCATTTATGCTCATTACTGCAACTGCTCTGATGAAAGCAGTTGGGTTTTTCTACACATAAACAACCCAGAATTTGGCTCTAGGTAAGCAGAACGTTATTTTCAAAACTTTGAAAAGCAAAAAGCAGGTGTTAAGAGTCTATATTTTTCCTGTAATGTCTTACAAAGCTGATGCTCTTAGTAGCACTATTCTTAGAAGTGTCTTATCATTCCCTAACAAAGGCTGCTCTCTTACACGTGCAGGAAACGAACATGAGATTAATTACCCAAGTGTAACTTGCTGTAAAAACAGAGAGCTTAATGCTAAATGCAGAGAATTCATTAGAAAGCACAGGGAGCTTCACTTCAGCAGGCAAATACTCTAATAGTGGTTTAATAGTATGTACAGTGCTTTTCCCTCTCTGTCTGATACTTGAACCCTGAGTCCACCACGTCAGCCTATCTAAAGACGCAGTTGTGCAAGGAGTCTCCGGGGAGAGCATTTGGTGTGTGTTGCAGTTCTTTGTCCCGTAAGCGTGACCCGAAAGCTGTGCTGCTCTCATTTCCCCACTTGGTTCCAGCTTTTCTCACCAATCGGGGCTGTGTGGGTCTGAGGGGTGCCGGGGAACCCCAGGAGCTCTGGGGGAGCTGACTATGGGGCAGGCACGAGAGAGGAAGAAGCTGCTACCAAAAACTAGGAAGTGGTTCTGGTGGAGGTGAAGTCCATCATGCTCTAGACCAAAAATATTAAATTTCAAGCACAGCTTGACATTCAGTCCCATGGGAGGAAAACATGGTCCCACTGGAGATTTTTGGTATTGATATTAGTGGATCATGAGTACCAGCCTCTGTAGGAAATTAAATGTCATGGGAGAATCTGCTTCAGGTTTGATGGGTTTCACAGTGCCTGATATTAGTGCTGAACACATCCAACCAGGGATTTAGATTAGGCATTCAGAGCCACAAGGGAAAAAAGAGTTTATGTTTGTTAATTTTTTTTTTTTAAATCAGAAGGCTCAGGATGGTGTTGTTCACGTATCCCAATTCTGTAATATCAGCCTGGAGCAGCTGGCTTTTGATACTTTTCATATGGAAATATATCTGCTCACTGATTGGTAATATTTGTTTTTTGTTTATTGGAGAGGGGGAAGAATGGTTTAATGGCCTAGAAAACAAAGGAATTACTGCAGCCAGTTGAAAAAGTCACTATGAGGGGAAAAAAGACCTGGAAGAAGGTACAGAGGATGTCTAATGAAATAAGAGACTAGTGCCACTGAGAAGACACGTTGTTCATGTACTGAGAAGAAGATGGGATTTTTAACAGGCAACTAATTTCAACCTGTCCTCAAATCACTGACCTGTAGTTTGTCACACCTTTGAGGAGCAGCAGCGGTAGTTAGCCAGCCTGCCCACCGGCTCCGGTGAATGCCACGCCAGTATTTACTTACTGTTCGTGTTAATTTGCGTGGTTTGCAATAGTAAAGGACTATGTACAGATGCTTGCTTGTTCTGAGTCAGTGCAGCTCCTTTTAAGTCAATGCTGCACAGCTGTACCCCAGCTGAAGAGCTATTTTTAATCTTCAGTACTATACAAATTGATGAGGGAAGACCACTTGCTCAAAAAAAAAGGCAAGTTTCCCACTTTACTTGAGTGACTGGATCCTTCAAACATTATTGAAAATCAAAATACCTTGTCAGCATCTCTAGATCAAGAGTCCAAAATGGACCCTGCGTTAGAAAATTTAGCCGTGCACTTTTTACCATGCTCCTTGAAGTGTCTGGCCTGGGAAGACAATTACAGGTGTAAATTAATGTACCAGACTGCAAAAAGATACTAAAGCAGTGTCCGTTCCTGCCGTCTCTGTGCAAGGGGCAGTAAGCACCCCCAGAAAGGCACAGCAGTGAGTTCCTGCAGACGGACGTCTCTGGCTGTTGGGGGATCTACCAGAACTTGACCACAGCACCCCATTGCCAGGGTTTTACAAGATAAGAGAATCTAGACGACTTCTCCATTTTTAGCTGAAGTTCTGGTATTTATCAGGAGAACAAATGGGAAGTTACTGGCTGCTAAGAAGAAAAAGTAAAGTAGAATTATGGAAGAGTTTGCTCAAGTAATAGGAACCACAAGTTCAAGTAAGAGTCCCACAGCGCTGCTAAGGGTGGGTGGAATGCAGAGTGGCTGCTCTCTGATCTAGCATTGGGCTGGTGTCAGCAGAGGACACTGCCACCCTCACCTAAAAGAAATCCCCAAGTGAGGTCAAATACTTCTGCTGGTTTGGGATTTGGGGGAAGTTTCCAAAAAAATAACTATCAAAGAGAAATCTGAACTTAATTTTTGTCCGTAAGCCTTTTTATTTCCAAACGCTTCCTACAAAGCCTCACCTCCTGAGCTCCATCCCTTCTGAATAGAGAGTTAGGGCCACCTTTCATACCCTGCTGGAATCAACATCCCGAGCTCTCATTGAAATAACTGAGTTTATTCAACCAATTTGTGCAGGTTTTGTAAC